CCGCAAAGCTATCACTCAAACCATGAAGAAGACCCTCTTGAGGAGCCTTTCAAAACCATCACCTTACCCTACATTGCTGGGATCACAAAAAAGATCTCCTAAATCTTGAATAAACACAAGATCCAGGTCCGTTTGAACACATTACATAAAATCCGTGATCTGGTTCCCTCTGTAAAAGATGTGATTCCGGACATACGGTAGCCTGGTGTCTACAAACTAAGTTGCCTCTGTGGTAGTAGTTACATTGGAGAAACCAAACGCCATGTCTCGGACCGCATTCGTGAACACAAAGCAGACCTTAAACACGGTAGCACCAACACCTCGGCCATGGCAGATCATTGTTATAATTCAGTATGCTCACATGACATTGACTTTTCCAAGACAGAGGTTCTTTGTAAGCCATCTGGCTACCATGAGAGATTCATTCATGAGGCTATCCACATATACAAGCACAGAGACAATTTCAACCGAGAAGATGGATTCTGGCTTAGCAATCATTGGAAAGATTTGATTAACCATTTCAGGTCTTAATTGATTGTTCACGTTTACAGTGGCTTTCAGACAGCATACATTAATTTTTCGTCTCCCCCCTCCTCTTTTCAGAACATAGATGGACTAGTCCTTCTAAATAAACTGCCAAATCGCTGCGTGTGGCGCTGACGTTTTTTTTTTTATAAATAAATGAATACACCGTTAAAAATACATTAATTAATGCAAACCGACACACCTGATGACGACCGTTTCATGTGTTATGGTCGAAACGTCGTGAGAATTTTTATATATATTATTATTTTATTGTTTCCCTTCAACGTGACTTTACTGAAAGAGCTAAGATTATACTCTAGAATTAATTAACCCACGTCCCAACGACGCTCCGCGTGCCCGTGCACCTGTTACTTCTCCAGACTTTAAGACGCCACTTCAGCCCTGACAACAACACCAGCCAATCACAGCCGTCTCTTGCTCCATAGCTTAATTGGCCTAATCATGACATCATTGTCCCAACCATCGCATATGTTTGTCCCAATATGACCCATACTCTCCTGCACCCGCGCGATCTCACCATTTACCCTCATGCGCCTATTTGTTCCACTACATATGTATGTATGTGTGAGTCGATATGTGTGTGTAAGTCTATGTGTGTGTGTGAGTCCATTTGTGTGTGTAACTACATATGTGTGTGTCTAAAGTCGATGCCTGTGTGTGTGCGTGTAAGTCGATGTGTTTCTATGTGTGTGAGTCGATGTCTGTGTGTAAGTCCAGGTGTGTGTCTGCTTTTTTCACCCGGGCACCACCGGGTACTTACCGCTAGTTAGATATAAATCTAACAATGAATCCAATTTTTGTTTCATGTACAGCATATACAGTACATACAAATACATATTTAGTTAATCGGTACTAATATATTAGGGGCCATCCATAAATTATGTCATGCACTTGGGGGGGGGGGGGTCAGACATTTGTGACGATGTTTGACGAGGGGGGAGGGGTTTGAGAAATGTGATGTTACATCAAAATGCGCAACTTTAAATAAATATAGGCAGCACCTTCTACTTAATTAATTATACGTTTTAATAAATGTGTTTTCCTACAACATCAGAGTGCAGCGCCACATTAAAAATGCACTACAATGACAATAGTTTAAAGCGATTTGAAGCATATTCTTAGTTTTTTCGGTAAAGTCACGTTGAAGAGAAACAACAAAATAATAAAATATATATAAAACAATAAAAAACATTCTCACGACGTTTCGACCATAACTCAAACGGTCATCTTCAGGTGTGTTGGTTTGCATAAATTAATTTTTAAACGGCGCATTTATTTATTTATAAAAAAAAAACGTTAGCGTCACGTGCAGCGATTTGGCAGTTTACCCAGGACTAGTCCATCTATATTTTGAAAAGAGGAGGGGTGAGACGAATTTTTTTATAATGTATGCTGTCTGAAAGCCAATGTAAGCATGAACAATCAATTAAGAACTAAAATGGTTTATCAAATCTTTCCAATTATTGCTAAGATAGAATCCATCTTCTCGGTTGAAATTGTCTCTGTGCTTGTATATGTGGATAGCCTCATGAACGAATCTCTCATGGAAGCCAGATGGCTTACAATGAACCTCTGTCTTGGAAAAGTCAATGGCATGTGAGCCTACTGAATTAGAACAATGATCTGCTACGGCCGAGGTGTTGGTCCTACCGTGTTTAAGGTCTGCTTTGTGTTCACGAATGCGGTCCGAGACATGGCGTTTGGTTTCTCCAATGTAACTATTACCACAGAGGCAACTTAGTTTGTAGACACCAGGGTATTGT